GCTTGTTAATGTAAATTATGGATGGAAAAAAAACAGTCCAAAACTATGGAATGATATCGTTATTTTAACAATATTTTACCATGGCTTTTATATTTTAAAATTTCCCTATTATGTTTTAAGCTCTGTTTAGTTGTTTTGTGAGGTGGGTTTAGATTTGGATATCAGTCACTTCATCTGCTGCCTCTGGGCAATGGATCCGTAGGTACTAAATAACTTTATTTAAAAAAAAAAACCACATTAATCTCAACCAATTGCTTAAGCTCTTCCCTAGAGATGCCAACTCACGTAGTCATTAAAAATTTATTTTCATAACTTGGAACTCACGCTTTACTGAAGCTGACTGGCCTTTTGTATCTCGGTTCTTCAGTGATCCTCGTGGTTGAGTTGAACTCTTTATATGCAAGTTTCACTGATTTAGTAAGTGATCCTTTTTGTTTTGTCTGAAATATTCCCTGCTGTTGCTGAGAGCTCTAATGGAGACTGGCTATGGCATTGTGTGTTTCAAACACTTGAGTGATAAGCTGTCCAATGTTGGCTCCATCCAGATGAACACTTCTGCTATAACTAATACCAACAAAAGTAATGATGTGTATCTTTAATGAAAAATAAGTGAGGTGAGAGGATTCTCTATGGGCATAAAAGGTGAGTGCTGCAGATTCCTTTGCAGAAGCAGAATCTTGAGTACTTCCCAGCGTTTGTGGTAAGTGCAGGTGCCGTATGCCTAAATATTTATCTGTATTAACATCATCATTTGTGGCATAGCATATCATAATCTTATAGATTGTTTTGTGGGTAAGCAAGTCTATTTACCACACCATTAACACTTGTCTAGTTTTGGGTTTTTTTTTTTTTTTTGATGCACTAATTAAATATTGAAAACATGCAAGTTTAAATATCAAAAGGAATTTCCACAAAGGTCCCTAACTCCTGAGCGGTGAATTGCTTTGACCTTTCTTACATTGATACAGAGGTAGAATCAAGCAGACAAATTTGAAATTTCTAAAATGTGTGCAGTTTTAGGGAAGAAAATGCTTTTGAATCCAAACTTCCCACTTTGGCATGTTTAACATTGTTTGGCCATTGTTAACAAACTTCGGCAAGTTAGCTGTGCCAGTTTGATATTCTTGTACTTGCCTGCCTGCCTCAGCTTGTGTAGCTGTGGCTGTTGAAGTGAACATATGCTGGCTCGTTGCGCACCTCACTTCAGTTGTGCATATTAGCACAAGCTGCTGACAGCAGAGCTGTAACAGCGTAAATTGCTGCAGCTAAATCTGCTGGAGCTTGAGAGTTGGAGCTCTTTTTTTTTTATTATATTTTTTTTATTTTTTTGCTTCGTGAAGACAGATTGTGTTATAAAGAAGTCAGTCAGGGCCAGGGTCCGATACTTGTCTTTTACAACTAACTGTTAAGCATTCAATTTTCAAAACTCATCTTGCTTACCCTGCTAAATGTTTTCTGTATATTTTACTAATGTTGCATTAGCCAGAGTCTATTGAAGTATTGTACGCTCTTGTTTCAGATTCCTATTAGCTTGTCTTCTGTGGGCTTCGTTCCTCTTTATGGTGGAGAGCAGACACACAAAGTTCTTGCTTTGTTTGCACCAGAGGACTCGCTCACAGGTTTCATTTTAAGATTCTAATCTCTGTGTTACTATTTCTTTTTCTGTGACAAATACGTGTAACCAGGCCCTTGCTCATTCCATACTAGTGTAGCTCATAGCTTTGCCACTTTTCCATTTGTTGTTCACTGCAGTCATGTTCCCTTACTGCTCTTTTTGTTGTGGATTCATATGCACAAATAATAGAACTTTGCACACTAATCAAAGTAGAACGGGACGTGGTAAATTCAGAAGATATCTAGCAACAGAACAGTGCTTGTCTGATTCAATGCACTTAATAACCAAGTACAACATGTGTCTCTTGGTTGCTTGATGTATACCTCACCTCTCCAAAATGAGTTTACTGAGCTTTCATAGAATCTACACGTTTGGCCATTAATTTAGATGCTCTTTATTAGCAGCAATCGATCAGCATCAAGTTTAAATTTGTCTTTGCCTGCAAGTCCTTACATCTCTCTGGCCAAGGTACCATCTTACTGTTGGGATTATTTTTGTTTTTTATTTGTTTTCCCTTCCAGTCCTCCATAATAAGCTCAGTGCTATGCCTTGTTTCCTTCTCTTTCCATACAACCTCAAACCTATGAGTTCTGAGTTTGCCATAAACACCAGCAAATCCAGGTTTTTCCCGATAGCTAATCACATGGCCATCAGCTGTTTTACATCCATCTGACTCAGACTTGCACAGTTCCAATGTCAATATCCACTGTCAGTCCAAAACTAAAATTCACCTGTGTGTGTGTGTGTGTGTACATATGTGACTCCTCTTGGCAGGGGCAGTTCTTATTGGAAAGAGGTGCTAGAGCACAGCAATAAAGGATAGTGCTCACGTCTGAAAAACACTTTCCCTATGTCGCAGTGCACAAAATCTGCATTTAGTTTCTCTTATTGTTCTCAGCTTTCAAACAAGTCTTGGACTAGGGAGTGTTACGTATTTGGGGGGGGGGGTGTCTATAGCACTACATATGTTGTGCTGAGGTAGTAAGAACTGCATTAATATGGTGCTGATTAGATGCTTGACTTGATTGCTACAGTGGTATTCCTAATTGTTTAGTGACTTTAATGAATATGTTTCTTTTGGAATGGTGATGATCGCTAACTTTTTATTTCCACTTGTTTCTTTCAAGCTGTAGCCCTGTATCTTGCTGACCAGTGGTGGTCAATTGATGACATTGTGAGAACATCTGTACCTTCGAGAGAGGGGCTTCAGCAGGTAAGGCGCTCCAATGTTTACCTTGGAGTTGTTCGTATCCTTCAAGATAATGGCAAATAGCTGGTGTCTGAGATGTAACATGTTTTGATTTAGAAGTGAGTAAGCCATCTCATGTAAAAGCAAGATCAAGGGCAATAGCGGAATCGGTACTAAGGGGAAGGGAATTTTGTTGCGAAGATACCATCTAGAGAAAGAGTGATCCTTGTACAGTCACTTTGTAAGCAAGCTATTTTGCTGTTAATGATGTTTTTTCCTTACTCCTTTGGATATAGTATATCTATTTGTGTTGAAATGTCTCGGGAGAATGGTGTGTTATATCGTAGGAATACCTGTCGGTTTTATCAGATGATTAGTAAGCTAGAAATACTGAAAGGAAATTCTTCTGATAGAAGAGAGTTGGAGTTGTTGGCCTGTGGTGGTAATATATGGGATTTGGGAACATATAAGCTGCCTGGTATCTGCTTTTTTGTTTTATTTTGTTTCTTTGGGCTTTGTTACCCTTACTGATGCCTAAGTAGTTCAGATTTTTTTTTCACCCCCCAAAACTGTAACCTCTCCCCCCCCAGCACTGTCACCTATATCTGCTCATGGAATTTGGGTATTCTTTTTGGTATGGGTGGTGGGGTGGTTTTTATTTTGTTTTTTTTTACCAAAAATTTACCCTAGAAAATACAGCATGCAGCCTTGTGTTTTTTTTTGTGTGCTTTGTAATGGTAGGATGGTGAGTGAATCGGGAAAGCTAAATCTTTTATAGGCAGATGAGCTGAAACTTCTGGCATTGGGAAAGGAGCATAGCTTCTCCATTTTTCCTTCATTGTGGTAGGATAGTAGTGGTGACCTTCAATTTCATGTGTAAAAGAAACCCTGCGGGAAGGAGAAAAGAATATTGAATTCCCTGTTTAATGCCACAGGAAGTGTTGCAAGTATTTCTTCCACTGCATCATGTCCTGTTGTCTGCTGCTCAATCAGCAGTTGATTCGAGTATGCCGAGTCCTGACTTCTTTGCAGAACTCCAGTTACCTGCTGGCCTGGGAAGTCTGATGCTGGCATACTGCTATTCCATGTGGTGAATGTTTCTAAAATCCCAGAATAGTTCTGAGTTAAATCAAAATGTTCTCCCTCCAACCCCGAGCTTTTATCTATTGGGCTGGGACTGACACTGAAGTTGTGAAATATCCTCTGGGTATGGTAGTGCTTTACACCTAACCTATTGCTGTGGTTTCAGAGCATCTCTGTCCCATGGACAAACCCAGAGCTTTGGGCACTAGCTGCTTCTTTTGCAGTTGCAACTGTGTTAGCTGGCACTTTTGAAAATAAGGTCCCTGATGTGTGAGTATCAGTTAAACTAACCACTCTTCTAAAATATTCTTCTGTGTTTCCTTAGGTGAAGTCTGTTGGAGAGAGGGTGGTTCTCTATGTTCTGAATCGAATTATCTATCGGAAACAAGAAATAGAAAGAAATGAGATCCCATTTCTCTGTCACGGTAGCAATGACTATGCTAAGATCTTATGGAGGAAAGGAGAGGCTATTGGGTTCTATTCTGTTAAACCTACAGGTAAAACACTTGTGTGTTGTGGGTTTTCTGTTTTTTTTTTTCCAATTAAAAACATTTTTTTGCTGAGGGTGGGGGAAGAGGGGAGATGGGGGAGTGTATTTGAAAAATGCTGTCTAACTATTTAGTTAGACCTTAGAAGCTGTGCAGGCCTAGCGAATTAGTATTTTCTTGAATTCATAAAAGGTCAGACTGCAGTTAAAATTTCTAGAAGTAGCTTAAATGCTTGCGTGATTTAGGGATCTAAGAAGGTCCTTCTTGGATATCTTAGTATTCTACAGAATCGATTTAAAACCATAAAAGTGAGATGTACCTGAAACCTTTTTTCCATAGGGCAGTTGTTTACTGCTGGATTGATGTGTGTGTGTTTGCTTTTAAGGGGTAGTAGCGTAATTTAAAATTAGTTTACAAGAAGTCTTAGCTTCCTTTGAAGCTAATGAAATATGCTAGTATGAGAACAGAGCTGTGCTCTGTACTTTGTTCTGAGTTCTGGTATCCATATCAAGTGCTTTTGCTGCTTCTCTGGCTTCCTCTATGTGTTTACATTAATTGAAGGTTAGAAAATGTCTCTTGTGTTCTTCCCTTTTTAATTTCGAATCTGTGCACTTGTGCTCTGTGATGACATACTGGTAATGTGAAAGCACAAGGGTATTCTTAGTTTGTTTTTTCACATGTATTGGACAAGGTCATATCATGTTTGATGAGTCTGAAATTCACTGGGGAGTAAAAAGATTGCGGAAGTTATGCACAGTAATCCTGTGTTTTGCCTGCTTAAGGTCTGACTAGCTCCAGAATGTAGAGCTCCTGTTTATCTGAAATGTTTGTAGAATTGAATATCATTGTCTCTTAAACGTCTTACAGCATTACAGCAGAAAAGCTTCGCTCATGGGCACAAGACTCAGCTACACCTGCTGGTGACAAAAAGTGATTCCCTTTCCTTCCATGCATGTGCACTCCCTCAGAGTTTACAGTTTAGCTAAACGTTTGTGCCATTAATCTTACGGATTTTCTGTTTTTCCTGTTTTTCTAAAACATTATAATTCCCTTTTAAATAATTAAGATTTTATTGTGGTGTTTAAGTTTTTTGGCCGAATAAAATTTGGTATTTATGAATTGGCTGTTTATTACTTTGGCAGTTCATAGTTAGAATATCAATTTTCGGATCAAGGAGCAACATGCTGGCATTTTTATTTTACCTCTAGAAGGGGCTAATGAATTCTGGGTTACTTACGGTGCTGGAGACTCACTGGAGACATCTCCCATCTCTTAACATATGCCTTTGCAAACTGTTAAAATGCAATAGAAAAACTGACTGGGTCATTGACGTATTCTGGTCTGGTAAACAATATAGGAAAGCAGTCAGCTAATGATGTATTTTTGTTCTGCTTATCAATACTACATTTATTAGAAATGAAATATTTTATTTATCTGTACATGTCCCAATATTTTTCTAATGTCAACATTGCTTTAGTGTGATGGTCGTGAAGTAGTACTTGCACTGGAGTGTTTTAGGTTTTGGGACTTAGAATTACAAATTAGAATAGTGGTTTTATTTTTAGTCCGGAATGGGGACAGTTGCTTATGGATCAGTGAAGTTTTACCATGCGTTGTATGAAGATGCTCGTTTGTTACATTTTTCATGCTACTCTGCCAATTTTGTCCTGAGTTAACAAACACTCAAGGTTAGTCGTTCTCGGTATTACCGGTATTTCACTCACGTTTGATTGTGTATTGTATTCTCCCAATGAGTACCTCGTGTGGAGAGAGCAAGCTCTGGATACGGATGGTTAGGAAAGTGTTGGAGCTTGACTAGTATCGCAGAGGGCGTCCGAGTAATGTAATCTTTCTGCTTATGTTTCCCTTGCTTAAAAAGTGAAGATAAGTGTGTTCATTGGTCTTTAAAGGTATTTATTGCAAGGACAAAATAAATTCTATAGAAGACTACATGTTTCTCTTTAGCCCCGTTAGAGGAAAGAACCGTTCATTGGTATGATTCACACTGACTGGCAAAATGGATTGAAACGTGGAAATGACTGAAATCCTGAAAATGGAGTGGAGAGTTGAAGTGTTGTTCTAATGCTGTTAAGTGACATCACATTGGCGTTCCTGAGTCCATAGCGACCCTCTGATCCTGCAGTACATATGTGTTATCACAGTCTGTTTCATTTTCATTTTAACTATGGATAAGATGTGCTATTTATGCAAAAATTTCAGTGAAAAGCTTTTTTTCATTTCAAAAACTGGAATTACTGTTTCAGTCCTTTGTATTTGAATTACAGTCTTTGTATTTGTCCTGAGGAGTTATGTAGCCAATAGAGAAATGTAATTCATGAACTTTTTGGCTCCTTTTCCTTCCTCTCTTTTTCAGCTTCATTTTTAGTCCAATTTCCTAAGGAATTGTGCAGTGAGGTTTTTAAAGTGAGCCTTTTTCCTTTTTCTCTCTACTGCTCTTCTTTTTTTTTTTTTTTTTTTTTTGGTAGTACCAGACTAATTCAGCAGGCAACTTTTCCGATATTGTAATCTATGAACTGTCTTGGCAGCTTTATAAAGCTTTTCCAAAGAGACAATAAATGGCTTATAGCAATTACAGCCTGTCTTTAACTGAATATGCTAAAATCCATGCTGCAGCATGTCATTGCTGAAATACTGATGGATATTTTCCCCTTCCCGTTATTTTAGGAAGCATTTGTAGCTCTTACCTTACTCAGAGTTACCAGCTTCCAGTGCTAGACACGATGTTTGTAAGAAGGCAACATCGTGGGAAAGACTTTGGGCTGATGATGTTGGAAGACTTTGTGGATTCCTTTACTGAAGACACACTTGGCTTACGATACCCACTGTCGTCTTTCATGTACACAGGCAAGCTCTTTGATTTATTCTTCTGGTAGTCTTTGTGTTTTCTTTGTGTCCAAATGGGCAGCATTGTTCAAGCTCCATGGTAGCACTCTCTGTTTGTGGCTGCGTCGTAGAATCATAGAATAGTTGAGGTTGGAAGGGACCTCTGCAGATAATCTGGTTAACCGCCGTGTTCAAGCAGGATCAGCTGGAGCAGGTTGCACAGGACCATGTCCAGTCGGGTTTTGAATGCCTCCAGGGACGGAGGCTCGACAGCCTCTCTGGGCAACCTGTTTCAACATTCAACCACCCTCACAGTGAGCGTCTTTTAAACATTAAAGATTAAAAGCCCTCATTTGAGTAAGATGGTGAAATATTTCCTGATAAAATTCAAATCTTCTGTGTGTGAGATTAGATTATTGGCTCCTCCTTGGCTTTCCCAGGAAGTCTGGTCAAGTGAACGTTTTTGGCTGTTTTAACTTAAGTATAAGGAGGCAAAATTTTAACGTACAAGGAAAACACTTGTTGCTCTATCATTAACAGCCCAAGAGGGATAGGTCATCTAGGAAATAACAAACATTCTGGAAATGATGTTGCTTGGGATTGTCTGTGTTAAGGCAAGCAGGACTTTGTTTGCCTAGTTTCTCAAGGCTTGCTTTGTCTTGTCCTGCTCCCAGTGCATCTGCCAGGCTTCCCTGGCACGTTCATGTTTTCATTCGGCCTCTTTGCTAAGCCACTGGAAATTTTCTGCTGTTATAAATACCCCACTCTGCTGTTGGATCCGAGTAGACCTTGTTCGTTTAAGCTTAAACTGGCCAACCATCTCAAGCACAATTTAATGACTAATTCACTTCGCTGGCCAAGGAGTGATATGTCAGGATCTTGTCCACAGAGGTTATGCGCTGGTAGAGAACCAGTTGAAAAAATGGCAGTTTTCCTAGGAGCCACTAACGAACAACGTCGTAACACGCTTCTTCGCGTGCATGTTTGTTATGTGCACCGGGAGCAAAAAGGTGAAGGAATGGAGAAGAAGATATTCCAAAAGTGAGTGGTGAATGGATGATGATAAACCATGCAATAACAATGTGTTCGCCTTCCCAAAAAGTGCTTTCAAGAAGGGCCTGTAAAAACGCTAGTTGTCGAAATCACTTCGCTACATGCTCTGCCTAAGAACTCTTCCATCCCAGTTTGGTCTTGTGATTGGCAGGGACAAGGACTAGTGAAGCTGTAAAACGCCAAAAGGGATGCTCAGAGAAGAAGAAAAAAAGTCACATCCATTTTTGTTTGCAGTTTAATATAATAGTGGAAAGTGCTTTAATCTGAAGGAGAGATTTACTGAGAAAGACGACTAGAGTAAAGCAATGTTATGGTTATATATATATTTATATATATATGGTTATGCTGGACTACTTGTTGAACAATTCTTTTTTGGTGGTGTATGTGTATGATGGAAGATTACAAATGAATTTAATTTATTTCAGATAAACTTTTAAAACTGAAGTACAGCTGAGTGTACAGTGTACATAGTTTTCTTTTTCTTACCTTGTTTTTGTTCAGTTTGTAAGCGCTATTTTGAGAAATACCCTGGGGATCATGACCTTTTGTGGGAAGTGGAGGGAGCAGGACACTGGTTCCAGAGGACACCTATTACCACTGTATTGCAAAGGGAAAAGCTCAAAATTACAGGTATGGATGCTTTGTTTTATTATTTTATGACTTTTTTTGTAAAAGTTATACTGTAGGGTGTTTGTTCTGCAGTGACTCCCTTGAACATTGCCCATGGAAACTAATAGAGAAACTTTATTTGTCCTGAGATCTTGTGAGATCATGTTCAGAATGGCTAATTGTTAAATAAAGATGCTATAATCTTTCTTTTTCCTGCTGCCCCTTGTAAATGCTCTTAACAGCAGAGGCCTCTCAGAAAGAAAATAAGAGTTTCCAGACAGAGGAGTATTTTCTGCAGTCTGCAGCAGAATCTGAAGCAAATGAGCAGAACACAGAGCCAGAAACACAGCTAAGTGTAGGTACACAGAATGCTTTCCATCTCTTAAAAGCTCTCAAAGTTTTTATATTTTTCTGTAATCGTATAATGTATTTTGCCCTTTTCTTTCATTTTCAGTTACCTGTTCTTTATTTTATGTTCAGTAAATATTTTTAACTTTTACAAAAGAATACATTTCTGAACTTCAGAAATTAAGGATTTTAGCGGATTGATATGTTTGATAAACAGTATGTTATGCTTGTTTGAGATTTGTTTCCATATACGTTCTTAAGAAACCGTCTTGGGTTATGTAGAGAGCTCATACTTTCCGTACCTTTTCACTTTGTCTGAGGGGCAGCTGTCTGATAAAACCCATGACTTTCACCAGAAAGTGATTTTTTTGGATTGTTTTCGCTGTTGTCACTGAAACACCCATAGAATCAAAGTATAAGACGTGCTCATTGTGCGTCTTATGATAATTGAGTTGGCTTGAGTCTCTATTATAAAGGACAAATACTTGTGTTATCTTTGGGTGAATGTTAATGTTTCCCATTGACTTAACACTGATGACTAACCTGGGGTTAAAAATATACTTTTGTGGGGGTTTTTCCCCATCTTTTTGGTTCCTGAATGAAAGGGGTCTGTGTCACAACTGTCAGTATCTAGTAACTTGAGCTGCTTGCTAGCAGCTTGGAGGAGGAGAATATTTAACTGCTCAGAGACTAAACTCTCCAGAAAGGCTGTTTGAACAGTAGAGTCATCGCAGAAGTGGAGAGAATGAAGACAAGTGTTTATAGAACTGCACACTTGCATCACAGCTGAATATGGTGGAAAGTGTTTAGTTTGCATTCAGGGTTATGCATCACCCATATAGGAGGACTGCAACTTTCTTTGTATGTATTTGAGGCCAGATTTCAGCTATGTATGGGTATGTAGTTGGGAATGTTGTTGTGTGTTTGAATATTAGGCAGCTGTGCCTCCATCTCGCTTGTGTTCTGAGACCAGACAGAATGTCCTTGGACAGCTCCACATCCAGGGAGGATGAATTTGTGTGTTTCAGACTGTCTGTGGTGTTAAGATGCGACCATGTTCTCGTAGAAGTCAGTGGCTCTTCCCATTGAATCATGAAAAATGGGAAGTATATGAATCGGTGCTTTCACCCCTTTATAGCTGAACTTTAAATTTGAAATGTAAATCAAATGTTTGCTCTCATGATTGAGGAAAGTTAGCATCTCCCAAACAAAACTGATGGCAAAGTAGTGACATTTTCAGTCTGTAAATGATGAGAAGCAACAGCTAACTGAGTTGTCTTTAACTTGTACGGTAGTCTTTAGTTTGGAAGAGTGCACTGAGCATCCTCACTGAATTTTAGATTCAGATGGATTCCTCTAATGATCATTTCAGCAGAAGCATTTTCATAAAAATGCATATTTTGGATGCAGAGTTATAAGGATGTACTTAGAGAAAATAGCAGAGGGACATTAGTAGCTTTTCGGGTTTTCTGTGGTTGTGAATTAAGAATTCTAGCCCTGTCTTTTGCCCTGACCAAGAAGAGGAAGATGATAGATTCTTGGTTCCTGAAGTGCTTCAGCTCCTCCTAGCCTGCTAGAATCACTGGCAGCTCGGCTGGCACCTGCACTGTCTGTACAGAGTTCTGCAACGATTTGAAAGTTGGTGACCTGCAAAACAAAACAAAACACCCTACCGTTCTCCCAACCTGGAAAAAAAAATTCCCAGAATGCATTTCATATTTTAGTGGTCCTGTTTTGTGTGTCTTAACACTTACTTGAAACTACTTTGAGCAGCAGAATCTAGATACGGCCGCTTGTTGCTGGTCGTCTTGGGCAGTACTTGAGGTGAGGCTGGGAAGGCAGCAGAACCTCTGGAGGCAGGTTGTTGCCAATTCTAGATCGCTTAGACTCTATAAAAGAGAGCAATGCGTATACTACATTTTAATGTATATAGCTTGCACCCACTTCATAATATCAAGTGCTTGACCACTGAGTCCTCAGCTAGCTTGCGCAAAAATTGAGAGGTTGGGAGGAACAGGAGGCAAGACATTTCTGGGGAGAGGGAGGTTTGACATTAGCAGCCACTTGTGCTGACTGTTCATGTAACCTGCATTATTGCTGAATAACTAAGTTCTGGGTTTTTTTTTTTTGTCATAATATAATAAGACTACAAAATACAATGCAAGTGTAAAAATAAATTTCCTGCTAAATTTTTTCAGCTGCTCTAGTCTAGACCCTTGGATTTCTACAAAAAGAAGTGAGGGGGGGAGAAGACATAGCAGTTAATTTTACGGACACTTGCTATAGATGGGTTACAAAAAACTTGCTAGTGTTATTTGTAATGGCAGGTTACGCTGAAGTCTTGTCTTGTGTGTTGGAATCAGAAGTAAAATGCAGGAAAAAAATTCATGCTTCTACTGAAGACCAGATGATCACAAACTTATTCTGGTCTGTTGAGACATGAGAGAGATATAAAATAACTTTATAATGCGTTTATATATTTTATAAGACGTATGGAATATATATGTATGTAAAATTAAGAGTGGCTGTAACCACTCTTCCATAGTACCTTCAGAAAGGTGCAGCTAGAGATGGAGATATGAAGGTATTTAAAATAACATTGGTCTTGCTTTTACTTTAGGCTGAATCTCAAAAAGGCAAAGAATCATTAGATGTCCGTGCAAGCACATCTGAAGGTAAAAATAACAGTGACTATTGGTATTGTGATAGTTATGGATTACTAGGTTAGCAGGCTCTTTGTAGCCCCGCTTATTCATCTGCAAAGCGGGTAAAAACACGCCTTGTTCTGAGGTGCTGGGGTCCAACTCATAACAATTGTTACAAGTCTTGGTAACAAGACTGTGTTTGTGTATTCAGAAAATAAGTACCACAGTAAAATGCTGTTTCACTTGTGTTTTCCTTATGCATTTGCTTTAATGAAATGATTAGGGGAAAATTTTTGTATGTGCAATCTTCCCTAGACTGCTTTTGTTCACTTGTATTTATGTATACATTTTTTCCCCTCTAAGAGCCTACTGTAACACCCGTTTCCATTCGGACACGAAGCAGTCATTTAAAACGTCCCAGGATAGGAAAAAATAGCCAGGAATCTGAACCTGAAATTTCCAAAGGAGAGGAGGAAAATGCTCTTCGTGTGTCAGAAAGCAGGTAAAGGAGCCCGTATTTTATTGATGTTTTTATCTTGTTGTTTAGGCAGTCTCAAACTACAGGGGTCTCCACCAGTGTGATTCTTGGCATTTCCTCTCCCTTTTTCCTACTTTGCTTGCTTGAAAGTAAAGCCTGGTGTGAGAAGGGAAGTTGAGATATCACATGAAGAGTGATTGTGCCAAAATGTCTGATGTTTCTGAAAGCTCAGCAGATGTTGGGAAGAACAGTAAGAAAACGGTGAGGACTGAGGGTATATTTACAAGAGGAGCGTGTTCTGTTATAACTCAGTCTGCATTAAGGTAAAAAAATCTGTATTCACACAGCATGCTTCCTTACAGTAATGTAGCTGGACATCTATCCGCAATGCTTTGTGCAGTCTTTGGAGAGAAGTCCCGCCCTGACCTCCTCTTACGGTAGCATTTTACAGTTAACTAAAACATGACTCTCTAGTTTGGGAGCTAGTTACTGCTTGTCACTTAATAACAAAATAGTTACAGGGAGCCATCCCTCCTCAAAGTAAAGCCCTTTGTTTGGACAAATCCTGTTTTAGAACAGTCATACCCAGACTTATATCCTAGACAACATAGGCTTATATTTATACTGTTAGTTTAAAAAAAAAAAAAAAAAAAAAGAGTTCCCGATTTAAAGACTGTAATCCTGTGTAATCATTTTTAAATGGGAGTGTGAAGAGTTGTACTGCTTGTGTGTTGTAACAGTTCCTACAAGACAAGAAGTCCCATCCAGAAAGCAAAACTATGATTATTTTAAAAAACGTTCCTTCCTCCCCCTTCCTGCGTATGTGAACATACGTACATTCAGATATTCTTTGTTTCTCTCTCTCTCTTCGCTTCCCCCCCCTGTCCCTGAAAATCTGCCTTTTTGAGAACTGAGGGGAATCTGATTGTTTTCTGGGAAATCCCTCAAACTTTTTTTCCATTAAATTTCTCTTTAAAAAAACAAAACAAAACAAAAAAAGCCCCCAAAACAGTTTTTCAAGTGAGGTAGGCTATTCTGTTGCAATATAGTTGTATTGGACACTGCTCCTCTGCTTGTAGTACCTGGATTGCAGTTTGTGCAAAATCTCAGCCCTCCTGTAGCTCAGCCATCAGACATTTGTTTTTATGATTTGTTCTCCATAGAGAAATTTGACCCACTTTCCAGAAACTGATTCCGTTTCAGTTTCAGCTGGCTGACAAGCCAAGTGGCTTCCCATGTTTCTTCAGCTAGCCGCAGCCTAATTTTTGCATGCTAATTGCTCTGTGAAACTACCTAGGTGCCGTGGTGCAGCTGCGCCCTGTGGAAACGGGGCGCTGCCCCCCGCTGCCTTGGAACAGGCCACGTGGCAGGGCTTGCCTTTGCCACAGGTTGAGAAGTTTTTGACTTGTGACTACTACTAATTGGCTAGTTGGGTATGTGGGAAGACCAGCCTCTGTCATTGAAAGTCAGTATTTTGGGCCTTGCAAGGTGGAGTCAACAAGAGGCCACTGCTCCTCTGAACGAGGTGTGTGATGTGGTGTTTGTGAGCAAGGCTGCAGCGAATCCTGAGGGCAGTTTGCTTGCCCCTTCCACACACTAAAGCAAACAGAGCAGGGTCTTCTCTCTAGGACTTGACCCCTGCCTAGAGCTGTTCTACTGTGCAGGGCCTCCAATCTCAACCTGCCGTCTGGATGAAACCCTCTAATACTGCATTTATTATGAAATTGAAGCAGCCTCTTGCAAAACCATGTGCTTGTTTTGATTGTGTATGCTACATCAGTGCGCCTAAGTTTTCTCATTTCTGAAATGAGAAAACTTAGTTTGAGATGGTGTCATTACATATGAGGTTTATCAAAGCTTCATCTTCAGCTGCTTGTTAGCTTAATCTCTAGCTGGTTGTATCTTCAGCCAGGCTGTGTTTATCAGCTTGAGTTGTTATTCAGTCATGGTCGTCTTAAGTCATGCATGTTCAATGGTTATATAAACATAATTGCTTATGAAGCTGCATAATTTAACTGTTCCCACAATGGGGCAGGGCAAAATTGCTTCTTCTCTTCTCCCTTGTAGCTTTTAAATGGGTAATGGATTACTGCTTTTTAATTTTCAGATAACAAATTTACTTAGACATGTTTACACACAATGGAGGTGAGATAGATGTCTCCACTTTATAACTGCCGTAGCAATTTTGTCTAGTTAATATCTTTCTCCTCACTAGGAGTTAGCCATTCTTAGATGCGTTCATGTTTCTGGATTCATATTTCCCATGGCAAGTGTGTGATGTGGCAGTTTAAAACTGGTCGTGAGAGAATGATTTCCCTGCTGATGGGATCACCCAAATTATGTATTTATTTAAACAATTTAAAGGGAATATCTTAATGCCTGCCGCAGGCTGGAACCACTTGCCCATGTGTCTGAAAGCTCAGAAGACTCGGTAGAAGAACCTGAGGAGAACGCTGTCGAGAACGATGAGGAAATGATTGTTGAAAATGAGGACCAGTCTGTATCGGAAACAGAGTTGCATACATCACCACCTGAGAAAAGGAGTGAAAAGGAGGTGAGTTCAGTGTTGATTGGCAAGACTCAATCCAGAAGAGATGCAAGTGATGCAAGTGATGGTAGATGGCAAGTTGTCAGTATGAAGCTACAATTTCTTTTAAATGTGGTCATTAGCTGCCTTGATCCATGTGTTTATTGACTCTTAGATTGTCATACCAGTGCTTCGTTAACAACTCCATCTTAAAAGCTAAAGGTAGTACAGAATTAGTGTCAGGGGAAACTGCCTTTGTACTTATTTTTGGTGTAATTATTAGAGTTCATAGGATCTTCAGTAAAGTAAATTTCTGGCTTGTCTGTTGAGCTAGCTTTTGCAGTTGATTTCTCCTATTCAGATGATGTGGAGAACTGGAATAGGGTCAAGAACTGATCCAGTATGTCTAAGAAGAAAATGGCTTAATTGAAGGAGCTAATACCTGGTATACTTCAGTGACTGCTGTTGACCCTCCCTCCCCCAAACTTACACACTTATATTTAAATCCAAATTTTTTTCACAAAGACTTGTTACTAGCTGAATTCAAATCTGAGAGTACCCACTGTGTCCAGCAATATCTCCAGAGTATTATGTTCCTACTCCTCTGTGAGAAAGTAGACCTTACACTGTTTTTCGTTCATTAACCTACAGTTTGAAGGAATGGCTGCAGCTTGCATAGTTGTGAGGTATATGAAAAGTACTTAACTCTGCTGTTAACAACAGTGTAAGCCATGGTCAGAAATACAGTGCAGCTGACAACATGAAGCTATTATGCAGTTTAAGTAGTTGGATAGCTTCTACGTTGAGCTCTGCCTTCTTAGTATGCTTCTCTAGGTACCAGAGCTAGCTGTTTTCTCACGTGAAACTACAAATTTAGACCACAAATGTGCCCACTGATATCTGGGAGTGATGGCTGGGCACAACCTTGACTTAAAAATGTGATTTCTAGGAAACTCCACCTGAACCTCTTAACGGTGAGGTAACAGAAGAAACTGGTAAAACCTCACTTGTGGCTGAAGAGGAAACAGCAAATGAAGTTTTAGGTGGCGAATCAAAATTGCAGTCTGAGAGTCGAGGAGAAGAACCCTTAACACTGTTTGTTCCATTAATCCTTGAACCTCCAGCAAGACCTTCAGAAGACACTGTATCAGATAAGGTGAGAGAAGTTCAGCAAAACTTTTGTCCTTCTCTTCAGTGTATACACACTTAATTGTGTGTGTGTATGTGTGGTTTTTTTTTTTTTTCCTCTAAGTAACGGATAGAAAACACCTTTCCCCATCATCACTATATGAATTTCCTGGAAGAAAAATTTATCAGGACAGAGGAAATCAATTCATAAACAGACTATATTAAAGTTTATTTTAACGTGCAGAAGCAGGGAGGGCATGCACAGGTGCCTAAGAGAAAGATGCTTTGCTCCAGTTGGCAGTAATGAAACAAATTATTTCTCCCTACATTAGTCGGATATGTGTGAAAAGCCACAACCTTGGTTTGTGTGATAGTTTTCTGTGATGAAGCGTAGAAGCAATTAATTATGGGTAGAATACTCCTCAAGAACACAGATTTTTATCAGTCTCTTTATGGTGTAAAAGCAGATTGTTATGTGACTTTATGCTAGCAAAGTGATGATAATTGTATCTGTCCAAAATGCAAAACTTTATTTTTTCCCTGGGGATTAATTTCAGAACCTAGGTTGCTAGGCAGGGGTTTTGAGTGTTCAGTATCTTAAATTGAATTGTCCCTCTGATGTCCCGTTCTTCCCCCACCAGGTTTTAAATGCAAATGATTCAGAGGTGCTGACTGAAGAAAGCCCATCTGTAGAGAAAGAGGGCACTGCAGAAGAGCAGCAAGAAGCTGAAAGGAAGAAATTGTCCAAGGAAGAAAGCGCAGCTGCTTTGGATCCTTTGGCTCCAAAGGATGAGCCCTCAGACAATGGCCTGCCAAACTCTGTGGTGACTGAAGCAGCAGAAGAATCTGTTTTGGAAAACGTGTCGCCGAAAACAACTTCCTCAGTGGAAGAACAAAATGAGGAAGCAGGGCACAACTCACAGGAGGCCTCTGTTGCCGTGGGTCAGAGTTCTTTGATAGTGGTTGAAGTTGAGGGTGTTTCTTTTCAGCAGCCTTCTGGACAGGAAGGCCAGAAGAACCAGTCAGAAGAGCAGTCAGAAGAGTCTGCTGAGCAGATGGATCAGTACACACAGACAGCAGCAGAGCGGGCTGCTGACAGCAGCTCTGAGGAAGCAGAAATTGAGGTACCCATTGTAGATCGGAGAAACTTGCGACGAAAGGCCAAAGGTTACAAAGGTCCACCCAAGAAAAAAGGAAAGCCAGCTTAAAAATGAAATATTAATTCATCTATTTGTAAGAAAGTTATTATTTTGTTTAAAACACTAGGGTATAACTAAATCATATGGGACACAGGACACACGTTTAAAATATTAGGTTGGACTTCTGTTTGGGATTCATCACCTTTCCTCAAGTTTTCTTGAATTTTTAACCACTATACATTGAGCTTCATCAGAGTATGAAAGTAAATGGCCAGTCTCCTCCTTTTATAAAGGATACATGCTGAATAAATGCAGAAGTTGAGCTAGCAAAGGAACAGTTTGCATATTTAAGGTGGCAGTCTTGGAAGAAAAACGGTGAAGTGAGAAATCCTGGCTCTGTTAAGGTCACTTAAATTCCCATAGACACCACTCTAGAATTTTGGTAATCTTGTGTTCTGTACTGTGGAGAGAAGCAGAACAAGGAACAGCCTTCCTCTCTTCTTGTTTCCTTTCCATAGACTTTCTCAGATGAGATTAAAAGAATGTAAGATTAAGTAATTCTAGGTCTCAACATGTACAAGGAGGGGTATAACTCAGTAGATCAAAGCAACATAAGCAACATCTGTCTTTCGCTAAAATCAGACTGGAGACTTTCCACTTCTGATTCCCAACTATTTGCTAATCACTTGAAACAGCTGAGTCAGCAAAGACACTGTCAGTGCAGTATCTACCATAGCACACTCTGATAATCACGTTCTTTAAGTGAAGATTTAGAGATGCCTACCCAGTAAACTGTACTTGTAACTTCCAAAGTGAGTGTCTTGCTAAGCCTAAGTTTTCCAGAGTGTATGGAGTGCAGATTCCAGTACACTTACGAGTTGTTTGAGCTGCCTTCCTAACTGTTTGCATGTGTTGAGTGGATACTTGATGACTGACTGGTTATGTTACAGGAAAAGGATATCGCAGCTTTTGATCTAGCGTTGGTCTGAGTGGAAGTGGTGCTTTGTGTTTTCCAAATACTCAGCTGGTGCTTTGGGGTAATTATTAAAACGTTGAATTTGCCAGGCGTGTGACTCCTGTGAGCTCTGGCATTCCAGCTGGATGTGACGTTCATTAGTGTGAATATTAGTGGGGGTTTCAGCAAATGCTTGTTTGCCAAACTCCTATCCCTTTAGGAGTTAGCAGGAGATTGCTGCAAATACTTCTGATTCCTGCTTTCTTTTTCTAACTTGGATGTAATTCCTGGGCTAATAGCTTCCCAGTTTATAGCTTTCTTAAAAGCAGCAACCAAACTTTGCAATATGCAAACAGGTAAAAATGGGCTATTCATGCATGTTTCCCTTCAGAGGTACTCTTGGCAAACCGTGTATTTAACTTGAATTGCCATATACACTGTAAGCTATTTCCTAATTTGCTCTATGTTTCAATAAATGAAGCTCCCCTCATAATGGGTTAAAAACTCAGGAATAAGAGAGAACACAACTATTTGTCCTGCTATATCTTTTCTAAGATTAGTAAAGTAGTCTCTTACAGTGGCTCAAAACCAGAGGTATCTGGAAATTGCTCTTTTGGATTTCTAAGTACAAGGTTCACTTGAATAATTGCAATGCTGTCTTAATTTTTATCTCCCTATGGAGCAAATGTAAGAATCTGTTTTTTGATTTTTATGCTTATACAGTTTAACTGTATTTATAAGATATTTTAACTGTATAAGATATATTCTTAATCAGCTGAAACGAACAGAACCATGTTCCTTTTTAATTTGTTCAGAGACACGTTAAAAAAAAAAAAGTTGGTTTTTAGAAATATGTATTGCCTAAGTTTTGGATTTAGGGGACACGGGGATCATTGAGTTAAATCTAGGTTTCTTGAGGTGTTGCACTTAGCTGTAACTTCCTATCAACATACAGGTACTGCTTATGAACCCTTGATGGCTGATAAATGTTCAAGATCTTTCATGATTGTTTATAAACCTATTCAAGTGAACCTTAAGCATTTCTAAAACTAATTAAACATTTTCTATGAAGCACCTGAGACAATTTGTCATCTGTAATATGGCTTCTCTTTCAGTTCTAAGATTTATTGTAAAAAGATAAGAACATGATGGCTAGAAAACATATTGTGTTGCTAGGAATTGGGCTCTTTGAGGATTGATGGTAGTTAAAATGGGGTGTTGTATAAACTATATTGTAGCCAACCATCTTTCATTTGTTAGAGTAGGCTTTCCTAAACATTAATCTGTTGAATACTTGAGTTGATACAAATGTATCTACTTTTAATAATTCAAGGATTATTTTGTTTATGAAAAGTGAGTCCCAATTATTTCAATTACTTCTAACTGGATTTTTGATGCATATGTTTACATCGCTTGTATTCCCTATAAGGTTGGAAAACAGTGTTAATGGGGGAAAAGTCAGTTCACTTATTTGGCTCCTTTTCACAGCTAAGTCAGAATTGCTTTCAGTTAATATCTTATTTTTAAGACGTGCATATTGAACGCCTAAATATTGCAACAGTTCTATTAGATTAGGTCAGTCTTGGATTCTACTGAGATAGGTCAGAAATCTAACCGAATTTCAGTGAGCTAGAGGTTGGTTTAAACACGTGAATTCAAGTTCAGTATTTAAGTGTACTCTTGAGGAACTATTTCTGTAAGTCGAGGGTACCTGAGATAGTAGCTGATGGCCTGATTGTTAAGAACAGAATGGGGGTAGTGGAGGTGTGATTAGGAATTGCGACACCCAATATGGTCTTGAAAACTAGAGTTCTAGCTGTGAGTGCAGCAGTACTTGGAACTAAAGGGCACAGTTTATTTCCTGTAGTAATTTCTTTGGCATCAGTCATCTTGCAGTAAAAACTAAATGACAAAATCAAAGCACTGTCATTAAATAATAGTTTTATTGCAGTACTGATTGTCCCATTGGAACCATAGTTTAATAGTCTATACCTTCTGTTATATTAATATAAGAGGACGTGTCTGACAACTGTGTTGACTCAAGTGTTTTACCTTGGGAAAACCAGCGTTTTTTAGGCCTGGACAAATTTTTTCCTCGGTTAACTGTCTGGCTTATTACAGTTGAATTGTTAAAGAATTTTTAAGATCTTGCCACACCAGCAATCAACAATTAAAACATCGACTTTCTACAAGTTTGTACCAAATCTTATTACAACATGCTTTGGAACTACATGTGTACAATGAAAGCAAGCAGTATTATTTTTAAGCTTTATTTAGTCTAGGAATAGAGCTTAAAGAACATCATTTTGTGACTTCAGCCTTGCTTTTCAATAGTAAATGGTTTTGTATTTGAATTCAGCATTTGTTCAAATGTCTTTCTTGTACTGCTTGTTAAGTTTCAACAGGAGTTGCTTTGCTTTTCCCACTTTTTTTGTTTTTGGTCTTTTTCTCATTTCATGCAGAATTCTTGTTTGTTGTTCTCATGTTTCATAGCCCTTTACATGAAAATGTATACATGTCTTACTTCAAAAGTGCTTTTAACTTATTTTAAATGATGTCTGACCTTAGGTTGTTGCTTTTTATACCATTCTGTAGATGTCAGTAATCAAATTGGTCATTTTCAATGACATCAACATTACTAAGTTAAACATAGCAATAAATAGGCCTAAGTTTCAGCTTCTCTGCTCTGAGTGACCATTATAAAACTTTATTTCCAAGAGGATACACTTCTAAATTTATTTTCATAAATGTGATGTTAGATGTTTTCTACACTAGTGATACCCTGTTATAAATCTGCTGTTTATAAATCTTATGAAAGATATGTTGCTATTCTACAGTACTGTATTAAGTCTTGTTATAGTGTGTTTCAGTTTTTCCTTTTTTTAGTATTGTCTTGACTGGTTTTGAAATGTTTTGAAGTAGTAATTAAACTTATATTTTGTGATTTTTTTTTTTCCTGGTTTTTAGTATTTGAGTCCTCTCTGTTATACAGGAGGCATCTTCCTAATCGCATCAGTTCACTAGAGCAAAATGTATAGCTGTCATCATATTTTGCATTATTTTACAATTCATCTGCTACCGAGGAGCTTTTAAAAGCTAGCTCAAAAACTGTTAAATGAAAATCTTTTACCTATTAAAACAAGTTGCTGTACTTAATTGGCTTATACGTCAGATCTTTAAGAAGGCTGTAGAACAGGCTGTTCTGAACGTTACAGTTACGTGATCTGCAGTTTACACCATCCTGCATAGTTAGCATAAACTCAGCAGTTTAATCTTGTTAATTTTAGACAAAGCAATTAAGTTCTACAGAGAATGTATTACAGAATTCCTAACTTTCTTTAAAGGCAAAACACAGATCAAAGATCAAAGTCTTGCTTTGTGTAGCTCCATCAAAACATCGCAAGAATGTCTTTTTAATTGCAAAACTTATTATTATTCAGCTAACAAGAAATCATGTATTTACAACACAAAAAATGTAGTAGTGCTCTTGAGGTAGCTGTATTTTACGAGGGAAAACCCAACTGTGCAATAGAAAATTAAAACACTCTGTTCATGTTACTTGTTAGTATACAGTAAAAGGTGAAACAGAAAGTCCTTAAATGCAGGCTTATCTGTCTTGACAAAATGCCTTCTCTCCAAGCAAGTGACTTACATGTTTGTGACCCTCTCAGCTTCAAATCATTCCTTTTACTGCACAAATAACTAAAAATCATGGTAAATTACAGGCTATTTTGTTAGTTTAGCACATTGCCCTAGACTAGACTCAGAAAGAGGAGAAAACTTAAAAGTTATACTTTTTTTTCTTTTTTAAAGTATTGCCTGTGTCAGGTAGCGCAAGAGAAATTACAAAGCTGGTACAAAAAGCAGCTGGTTTGACTTCCTGGCTAGAGTTAAGCCTGGAAATACTATTAAGGTCACAAATCCTCCAGTCCATTAATTGTCCTTCTCATGTGAGGAGGCTGGGAGAAGTGAGGATCTTACCAATGTGTATAAATACCTAATGGGAAGGTGTAAAGATGACAGGCCAAGAGGCAGTGGCATATATTGAAATACAAGAGACTTGAGGAAAAAGTTCTATGGTGAGAAACACTGGAACTGGGTGCCCAGAGAGGTTGTGGGGGTCTCCGTCTTTGGAGATTTTCAAAACCTGACTGAACAATGTCCTGAGCTGCCTGTTCTAAACTCTGTCTAGTCCGACCCCCTGCCTAACAGTCTCCACAGGTCCTTTCCAACAGCAACCATTCTGTGATTCTATGTTTATATCTGCCAGACTACCTGCTTCTGTGGCTTACTGAGTGTCACATGCACATAGTAAACTCCAGTCTTAAGCTTCCATTATTGTAAAGGCCAGAAAAAAGAGCTGAAAAACTGTTCACACGCTGGCTTCTGAAATATCTTAACAGCTCTGAACACTCTTCTTTTAAAACACAGACGGGGGGGTAAGAATGCTTTCATAAAACTGCAGACACTCTTCATAATTGATTCGACTCAGAAGTCATGGTTAAAGCTCTTTGGCTTTACATATTATTTAAGAGTAGGAACACAAAATGAGAGTGTGTGTGTGTGTGTATTGCAGCAGTAGATGGTGCTAAGTTTGTTTACCACCAAATTCTTGACTTTAAAGTTAATATTTGTATCTCTGGAAGATTACCAATACAGTACAGCATCACTGATAACTTCCTGTTTAGAAGCAGCTTTTGTTTCTTGTATTTTCTGAGGATGCAAGCTAACTATACCAGCTAATGCTTGTGACTTCAGTTTTATTTGAATGTTTTTAAAACAACCAAACCACCACAAAACTACAGCTACTTGTAGCCATCAGTATTGTCATGTCATTCTCTAATCTCACATTATCCTAAAACCACAACTTTTCAATTTGAAATCATAAAGCAGTTCTTCTGCATGGAAGCACTCGGCTTTCCCTTAAGGCAGTCATGGATACAGAGGGGAGAAAGAAGGGAAGTAACATGAAAAAGAAATAACCACCCTTCTAGGTGTGTTTTTTTTCCCCCCTTCCCTCTCCTCTTCTTTCCATTGTGCTGCTCATGTTGTCTCAAGCACATGCTTCTATATGGGCAAGTACCAAACTAGGAATGTTTAATTACTAGTGTCAGTCTGCAGTAAGATTATGGTTGCATTCATCCAGATGTATTGATTCTCCAGAAGCAGAATGCAAGTTCACATACTGTTCTATACCTGCAGCTGTTACAGTAGAGGTCCCCATCTTGCTCTCACGGGCGATAACAGCTGTATTTCCCACCAGTAAGAATAGTGAGCTGAATATTTATGCTGTGAATTTAAGCCAGGAACCTGCTACTGTAAAAACACCAAGAAGATTTAGGTTAAATCCATACCATGTTAGCAAAATGTGAAAATTGATTCACTTTATTTGAACAACGTTCAGCTGAACAAAGAGATAATAAATACAAAAATCTGAGCGGTCTGTCTGGCAAGTTTTAAGTTCCTCACCAGCTTGCGGGGGTCAGTTGTTCAGTGGTTGAACATGCCAGAGATCTTGCGACCTTGTTGAAACTGCACTGATTTTGTGGGAGCCTGTGTCCATCGCTTTGTCTCAGACGCCACTTAGACAAGTAGAACTGCATTAATACAGCCATCGTTTTCTGGATTGTTTGTTACTTGTGCATATTTCCCTGAAGACAAAAGGGAGTTAAATGTCTACAAAAGCTTGAAGTACTTTGCACATAAACTAAATCAGAATTTTCCATGTTTGCATGTTTAATCCACAAGTCTGTTTTGAAGTCTAGGAAACTCCTGTTCCAAGAGGAAATACATTTTGAAATCTAAATTCAGTTTCTGCTGAGCTGGAAACAAGATTTTCAAAATATTTTTCCTTCAGGCTGTTCTGTAAATGTATCACTTCAAGTTCTGAGTACATTTAAAAACAAACAAACAAACAAAACCTGATACTCCCACAAGTTCTTTTAATGGGGAGGCTGGCTTGGACTATAGCCCAAGTCAGCCTGATCCTGTGAAGACACTCCTAGTCAGAAGTTCCACCAAAAACGCAACGTGACTATTTACAGTTTGTGTGGTTAGGTCATTATAGACTTGTAGCACTGGTTAATACAAGACATAGCCTAATAAGTGAAGCCATTTTTCTGAACTTTACCTAATTTGATGTTGAAAATGTGAATCAGAAGCCTAAGATTAGAACTTGCAGCTTGCGTTTTTATAGCTGTCTAGCAGTTGCTTCTGCTACAGCCCCAAACTAACATTTAAGAATGGATTAATGCTGACAATTTATAGGATGCAGACTTAAATCTCTATTGCCTCGTGTACTCTTAAAATTTTAAGACTAGTTCTGCAGTACAGCTAGCTTGGCTACTTACCCCAGATTACTTTGCCTCCTTGGGTCACGAGGCCAAGCTCACTCACATTCACCTCAATGACGGTACCTTTGGTAATTACACCCAGTGTTGTATACAAAGGAGAAGAAGGATTCTTCTTTACACCAAGGATAGGTAGGCAAAAAGTAGCTTTAAGTTCAGGATGTGTCACATGTGCCTTCTTGAAACGTAAGCCCTATTGCATAAGGAGCGTTGGAACAAGTTAATATTTACTTTAAGTTCTTGCGATTAATTTAACATTTTTAGCATTACATCCTCAGTTTCATGCATTTTAAGAGACTAGAAATAATGAAACAACTTAGCATATAAAGTGTAATCTATTATAGACTGCCAGATTTGTTAAAACCTGATTAATGACAAGGTGAGATGAAATTCTTTATGTGTATTTTCAGGGTGCCAATTTTTAATAGTAGTGCAAGAAGAACGCTTGCTACCACAGATGGCTTCTGTCCCATGAAGAAATCAGGACCTAATGGTAAAGCATTTTACAGTCTTACTGGTTTTCAGATTTGAGATTTTGTTTTACTTCATGTAAACCTGAAAAATATCCTTCATGAATTACAATATTAAAGGCCCATCTCTTATAGGACTTTCTATCTAGTGACCTGGAAGCGCTCTGCAAAGGAGACTTTACTACTTAGTACCATAACCCCTTCTGGGTCAGTAAAATCTATCAAAGGCCTCTGCGTAAGATAACTATCAAACTAGTAATGGAGTATAATCCAACAGGCAGCCTGCCTAATGCCTTTGTCTTTTCCTGTGGGGAAACAGGAGCAGGTGTTTATAACAAAATTACACTGGCCTGGACAATCGAACTCCTCCTCCTGTGCGCTGCCAGGCAGCTAGAGTCCACACAGGATGGAGGAACAGAAGACGCAGCACTTCCCTACCTACTGGCACTGCTGTGCTCCAAGCTGGGCTCATTAACAAGCCAGAAAGAGAGTGTGTTAGAGAGCCCTAAAACAGGGATCTGGCTTCTGCAATGTACAGAATCACAGCAGCTTGAAAAAGAAAGATGCCATCAACTTTATATGCTATGTCAAAGCGTTTGCCTTACAGACTGTCCCATGCTAATTTGGGAGCTGCTAGCTTTAACGTCCTCTTGTAATTCAGAGGATGCCAGTAAGAGTAGAACTATTTCAATGCAGACAGAGGGATGTGACTGCAGGGGTCCACCCCTGCCCCCAAGCTATTCTAAGTTTAGATTTCTTCAAACATACTAATAAGAATATTCTAAATCGGTAGTTTAACCAAGTGTGTTGTCATAAAAGAAAGCTTCCTCCCCACTGGAGGTCAGAGCAGCAAGTAAACAGAATTACTTAAATAGTCTTTAAGTCTCAAGAACATTACCATCGGTCGAATGAATCGTTCATATTTAGGAGGTTTCCTCGTAAAGCCATCTCCGACAAAACAAACTTTTGTAACCATTCTCTTCCAGGCCTTCTTCTTTCTCTTTCCTGTACGGATCACTTTTAAAACTTCTGTTTCTCCTTGTGCACGGACTTTTGGCACAGGAACCTCCCATTTCCCCTAGAGGGGAAAAAAAAAAAAAATTGCTAGTAGTCTTATATGCATGCAGCATTGGTAAATGAAAGAGGACAAAGAATAAAATAAGAGAAGTTGTAAACTAGACCTCTCATACAACTTATAGCTTCTCAGTTTACATAACGATTAAATTTATGATAGGCAAGATATTGCATATGCTTATTTTGTCCTAGATGGCTAAGTGAGTCATAGTTATAGGTTTTGCACAGTATCAATATTTAGACTTTGCTTACAGGCTGAGAGCCATCTGAGCATCGATGATATAAAGTGGTCATCGTCACGAGCAACAGTAAGTATCTGAATTTATTAACACATTTACTTACAGCTTTTTCTTTTCTCTTCTGTTTGATCATGTTAGAGAGAACTTTAGCTCGGGACTGGCCCTCCCTGTCCAACAGGTATGCTGGTACAGCTCCTTTAGGTGTCTTTTCATCGTTCTTTTCCTTTGTATTTCTCTTTTCATGCATTTTAATGCTGCAAGAAAAGAAAGACTATTTTTTAAAACCCATTCAGTATTGAGAGCAGAAAAAGTACTTTTGTAGATGAGAGATGAAAAACTGTCCTTCCACCTTGAACTTGTGCCTACTCAGAGCTTACTTTAGAGAGATGCATTTGTAATCAAAGTAGTACACGTTGATATTGAAGGATTAATCCTAAATATTTTTCACGGAACACTGGTGATTTCATTTAAAATAACAATTTTGATATCAGAGTGCAGGAAAGCCTTCCAATTTCTGTCAAAACAGAAACACATGATACTTGCTAAGAAATTTCTGAATGGCTTAAACACTGTAACTCTCAAAGCCAAGCACTTTAAGAGGTAATAGCCTTCCTCTCTGAAAAAAAAATAAAAATGCTGCTACTCTTCTGAGACTTGAAGGCAGCACTTAAGTTTGAGTGTGGTGTGTGTCTGTAAAGGCACTGAAGTAATCATGTTCTGTTACCTGTGAGGCCGTTTTCAAACGAAACAAAACCACCCCCCCCCAAACCTATAATCAAACTCAGCACCTTGCAAGTAGCTGAAGAAAATAACTGACTACGCTTGGAAAACAACACAAACGACACGTGGTGACGGATACTAAATTCATTAGCAATAAACAAATGCTATAATTATTTTTGATTTCAAGGCCTGAACAACAAAGAAAGTTCTGAGAAAAATGTTTTTTTTTTTAAATCTAAGCTTGAAATTGTAATTTATCCTGGATGACGAGCCTGGCATTCTGCTTGAACATACAGTGTATGTTACATAGAGTGTATGTTATTGTACTTGTTCCTATTAACACAGTTGATGAAAGGCACCAGGCTTTTTTTTTTTTCCCTTTTAACAGTAATACAGGAGTCAAGATAAAAACCCTAAACAAATGCATTAATATTTCTGCATTTTTGTCACAAGCACGTTCCAGTAATCATTACTGCTGGTTAACGTGTATCTTCCAGATTGCTTTTAATAACAGAATTATTGTTAAACTGCTAATGGCAGAAACACCCAGAGAGAAAAGAGGAAGATAACCTTATCTTAATTGCGGCAAAAAACCTCTTTCTCCTACAAACGAAACAGTAATTCAAAGTATAACGCATAACCGAAGTAAGAGCCGGTTGAAACCGTATTCGTACCTAATCGCATCCTTCACCTACCAGACCTGAACGCTACCGAAGAGCGGGTGCATACTCACGTCTTTTTCATTTGTATCTTCTCAGCGTGGCGCTGCTTGTGGTAGAGCTTGGCCTTCAGCCCTATCATCTTCTTGGCCTTCCTCGACCGCTCGTGAGCCTCGCGGCCCTCCTTCTTCCTCCTCCGCTCATGGTAGTCCAGGCGGCGGCCGTGCCGCTTGCGGTGCAGCTCGATGTGCTCGTTCTGCGGCTGGGGGCGAGCAGGAGGCGCCGTCAGCAGGTAACGGCGCCCG